CTATCTCTATCTCTACACTCCCCTTCAAACTGAGGTTGAGTGATGATCTACACTCCCCCTCAAATTGAGGTTGAGTGATGAGAACATTATCAGTTTGTCAACGAGATAGTCGTGACGAGCACGAATCATTGGCATTATAAAGATATCTGCAAGTTGTTGTTCGGAGTAAAGATATCTGGAAGTTGTTGTTGGGAGGTAACATGTGGGAGTGTAACTTCTCCAACCGTAAACTTTTCACGAATGAAATGACAATTAACTTCTATATGCTTTGTGGGGTCATGAAATACTAGATTTGACGCAATACGTATGGCTCATATTATCAGTATATAAAGTGGAATAAGAGGTTGGTGAAGAATATTGAGGTCCTGTAAAAGGCTTCTCAACCAAGTAATTTTACTGCAAGCTGGGACATTGCTCGGTATTCGACTTCTGCAGAAGATTTAGACACAATTTGTTGTTTCTTACACTTCTAAGATATGAAAGAATCTTCAAGAAAAATACACCACCCAGTGGTTGAGCGTCTAGTATTGGGGCATTCTGCCCAATCTACATCGGCATAGGCTCGTAACTCGAGAGAAGAGTTAGAAGAGAAGAATAGACCTTTATGGTATGTACTCCGTAGATGATGAATGATACGATAGACAACAGAGAGGTGGATGTGACGATGATTAGCAACAAATAGACCTCTATACCCTTCTTTCCCTCAATGGTGGCTTGGGTCGTGATTCGTGTTTCCTCACGAAGTAATTCATCGAGAATGACATCTATATTTGCTAATGTTTCGCGATTCAAAATATTAGCTCCCTTGGCTATAAGAAAACACATCATACTCAATTTAAAAGCATCTTGCAAGATTTGATTGCTGATACACTTTTTTCAAACAATCCCGCATTCTTTTGCGATACGAAAGCCTCTCATTGGCTTCCAATATCCAGATCGACGGAGCCGATGATCCATGAGATAACTTTTGCATTGTTGATATTCCATTGTTGGATTTATTTAGTATTGGGTGTAGCTGGTTCATGCTCGGTGCCATCGACATACCTACACACACCTTTCTTTTCAACAAAGAAATTGAAAATAGAATCGCCAATCAGGATAGTTTTTCCCATCAAGTTTTATAGCCAATACATCTCTTTTATCTGAAGCCATGTACGAATTGTATCAGAACTCAAGAGTGTTGATATAATATGGTCCCTATAGACCACCTCCACCACTTTCCACCCTTTTTTTTTTGGATTTTGAAAATATTGGGAAGATGCATGAGATCAGGGAGCAATGTATTGGTTTTGGGACGCAGAGTCTGCTACATATGCCATCGGTAGACTTGATGCTTAAAGTTCCATGTGGTTGAAGATTGAATGAGTAAAAAGGATAGCATCAGGGTTGGATTGGTTGATGGCGGTGGACATCAGTGGGGACCTGGTGCCCATCTTGAAGTAGGCGGGTGCATTGTGGTATTTGGCTTACCAGCTTTGATATTGGTAGGACGATTGACTTAAAAAAAAAAACCTTGATTAACATCAAGATATTTATAGGTATAAAAATAGATAAAGTTTTGGTAGGATGATTGATTTGACTTCATGAAAGTTGAAGGTGTGCACATAGAAAGAGAGAGAGTTGTAACTCACATGCAATAAATCGAGAAAAAGAGAGAGGAAAAAGGAGCCGAAAAAAAAATTTGGGGAGATGCCTGTGGACCCCAACAATCAGACCTACAGATAAAAAGCAAGCTCCAAAACCCTAATACCATGAATCAGACCTACGGATAAAAAGCAAGCTCCAACACCCTAATACCATGGCTTTGATAACATGTTAAAATTTTGAATCCTTGGTATTTGGATTAATTATCAGGAATATATAAAGTGCCATATATATATATGGCTAATCAGTTATTGATAATGACGAACTAATCTAGTCTTATCAAGAGAGATATCTATATCAAATACAAGATAACTTAAAATTAAAAACTATGCTCAACCATCTCTATCTCTTCAACTATCTCTATCTCTACAAGCATTATGGTATTTTAAAGACCGTAATGTTCATTGGGTCTCTTTCTCCCTCATTTGCCGCATCTCACGAGGTGTTGAAAATTTGAATGCTTAGCCTCGTCATTATCGTACTTAAAGTACCATGATGCTTAGCCTGGTAGTTACAGTACTTAAAGTAAATCATTACGTAATAGGACTACCATGAAGACTATTTTGGTAAAAAAAAACTGTTAAAATTGATAAAAAAAGAGTATGGACGAGGTTTATGAAAATTGAAGATTTTTTTTCCAGTTAAGCAAAAAATAAAGTATATTTATGATAATTTCCTTTTTATTTTAAATTCTTTGGGCTGTACAAAAACCGCCCAAACCGGCAAGCAAAAATCAATCCATTCAAGTGGTGATTAGAAAACTAACTTGGATATCCAAAATACCATTCCAGATATGAACCTACTATCTCTATCTCTACAAGCATTATGGTATTTTAAAGACCATAATGTTCATTGGGTCTCTTTCTCCCTCATTTGCCGCATCTCACGAGGCTACTGAAAATTTGAATGCTTAGCCTCATCATTATCGTACTTAAAGTACCATGATGCTTAGCCTGGTAATTACGGTACTTAAAGTAAGTCATTACTTAATAGGACTACCATGAAGACTATTTTGGTAAAGAAAAATGTCAAAATTGATAAAAAAAGAGTATGGACGAGGTTTATGAAAATTAAAGATTTTTTTTCCAGTTAAACAAACAATAAAGTATATTTATGATAATTTCTTTTTTATTTCAAATTCTTTGGACTGTACAGAAACCGCCCAAATCGGCAAGAAAAAATCAATCCATTCAAGTGGTGATTAGAAAAATAACTTGGATATCCAAAATACCATTCCAGATATGAACGTACAACTTCCAAAGAATGAGAGAGAGGCTTATCAAAGAGAGATGAGGACGTTCCCCTCACATCGAGATTTTGAGTTAGTATTGCAGCGAGCGTACTCATACTTAAAATCCCTTAACAGCTACTTGCTGTCTTTCATTGTATATACAAGTTATACTTATGAATCATATTAATGCAGCCAGTAGGCACCCACTATAACCTTCACCAGCTTAGAAAAAAAAAAAGAATGACTCAAATGATTTTTAAGAATTTCAGTATATTCCTTTCGAGATATTCAACCATCTCGTGTTTTTTGAGCACACTTTGTCGTAAATAATTTAAAAATTAATAACCAAAATACCCCTATAGTATTCGGGGGTATTTTCATAATTTTATTTATTTTAAATTATTTTTATATATTTTTATATATAATTGATGATGAGAAGTATGAACACATATGTATATGAGATGTGAGATTTACCAAAAATAGATTTACGGTTTTGAACATTTTAGAAAATAGTTTGATGATGATGAAGGACCTTTAAGAAAAGGTATTGTATACAATGAGACCATTTACCTTTGGTACATGGAGGTCACAGTTACTTACAACCATCCGATATGAAATCTAATTGCTTGGGTGTGTGACAAATTTCAAGATTTTTTTTTTAAACTTTGAGCTTAAACAATTAAATAAATGAAGCCACTTAATTTCACGTCCAATAGTCAAGCTTAATTGTGATCACTTTGTAACAAAGGTAAATTGTCTCATTATATACTTTATCTCAAGAAAATCCAACAAAAAGATACAAAAATGTTACATTTGGCAATAAAAACTCCAATGTAAAACACATTTAAATTGCATGCATAATTTATTCTTCTATTTTGTAATATATCCAAGTTGTACACTAGTACTCGGCTCGGCCAGGAGCGAAGTCTGAGTGCCCTCGGCCGAGTAGCTAAACACTGACCTATAATTAACCATCATGAACACTAATAGTGATAGAATAAAAAAGAAAAAGAAAATACCAAAGAAATGATGTAAAATCTTCAAGGTCCAACTATTGGTAGAGCTCCATTGATAACCTAGGCTTCACTGCGACATCGAGGGGGCGGTCTATGCGCATTGTCAAGCCAAAGCTCTCACTCAAATCCACCTTCTCTCCATTAGGGGTGTCCCACTCGAACGCCTGCAACAAGCGTGCGAGTGTGAGCTGCATGACATGCATGGCGAGCAGACTACCCGAACATGACCGCCTTCCGGAACCGAATGGAATGAGCTCAAAATGCTTTCCATACACATCCACCTCCACCTTGGTAGTCAAGAACCTCTCTGGCTTGAACTCCTCAGGATCTTCCCATGCACTTGGGTCTCTCTGTATTTTCCATACATTCACTAGGAGGCGCGTGCCAGCCCGCACCGCATATCCCCCCACGATGCAGTCCTCCATGGCCTCGTGGGGCACGAGCAGCGGGCTGACTGGGCAGAGGCGCATGGTCTCCTTGATCACTGCATTTAGGTATGTGAGGTGTTTGATGTCTGTCTCTTGCACAACCCTGTCCCTGCCTACATGGAGGTCGAGCTCGGCCTGGACCTTTTCAAGGACGAGGCGGTTGTTGAGTAGGAGGGCCACCACCCAAGCCATGGTCGATGCTGAGGTGTCAGTGCCGCCTGTTATTAGGTTCTGCCATTTATTTTATTTCTATATGTAAGGGAGGTTTGTCAAACAAACAAAATGAAAATTATATGGTGAGGAAAGGGGTTAGGTCATGGTGGTACCACCTAAGGTCATTGGGGTACTTGAAAATCTATCAGGTGACAATAGATTACAAGGAAATATGACATTTCCACTGTTTGCGTACACCTTAATAATAAGGAAATAGAAAGAGATTATGTGACTCGAGATTTCCCAAAAAAATAATAAGAAGTGAAAAATCTATTACGCCCTTGACGGCTAATTTTTGGAAATCTTTGGCGTGCGTGTTTCTGCCCTATACTGCTTAACAAAAATATTTCCCTAGTCTATGTTGTATTGTATAGTTATTAAGGTAAGTAGAATGTGAAAATAGGGGATATGAAAAATTGATTTGAACAGATGTATGAACTTATTGAGGAACAATTTTCTACTGCAATCATAATAAACTTTTTTTTTATATGCCTCTATCCCCCATTTGGATTGTAGCCTTTATCTTACTCTCATATAAGAATAAAGTTTTTAATAATTGGTAAGTAAAAGTAGGAGAAATATAAATTGATTTGAACATGTGTAGAACTTGATGAGGGAGGATTCTCTACTGTAATCATAATAAAAAAATTTCTACATCCCTCTATCCCCAATCTGAGTTGTAGCCCTCAATTTGAGTTGTAGCCCTCATTTGAAGCCATCAGCTCATATATAATAATAATAATAATAATAATAATAATA